TGAAACCACTTATAGTCAGATGGTAACATGTTCATGTTTTACTTTTCCACCAAGTATGTAATCTAAATGACTTTGGCTATATTTCTCAGTTGTGCAAACATATTATTACCTACACCGGTGAGAGAATTTTGGGTTACATTACCGGCTATGTTTGGCGACTCCCATCCACATACTTAAACATGTTCCACTGTACGGTACAGTTGTACAACAAATATTCACCAAAAAGGTAGAACGTTTTCCCATTAATTCAATGCGACATTGAAAATATGCGCAAGAAAAGTGCCAAAAAATAATGGACCCAAAGTATTTATTTAATGGGAATGGGGCAAAAAAGGTTCGCCGGAGAGTATGTCCCTTCCGTGTTGTCGGCAACAAACTGTGCGCTTACACGATTACTACTAACCTTAATGCGGCTGAGTTGAAACAGCAACGAGGGCAGAGATGCCGGCAAAAATATGCTTTGATAAGGACAATTATGGTGATGGGGATAGTCGACGTGATGCTGTGTACACACATACATACATATATAGAAATAGTATACTCGAGGGTGAGGCGCAATTGGCGTTGGCGTTGGTGGTAGTTTTTGTACGAAAAATTTCAAGTGCGTGCAATTGCGCCAAGTGTTGGCTTGGATGTGCTATGTGCATTTGTGTTGTGTCTGCTCGTCTGGCTCTTGTTCCGTTCAAATTGTCTGCCTGCTCTTTTGAGCCGGTCGTCTAGGCGAAGTCTTTTGTGCTGCTGGCTGGCACTTGGCTTTTTACATTTAGTCGAGCCAAAAGATTGTGTGAAAGAGGGAAACGCCGAAAATTTCGATTCGCACTAAAGAAACACTTTTAAACGGAAGGCCTGCAGCGATGAGCTACCCCGAAATAAAATGAGATTTTTATGTTTTTTCCGCTGCTGTTATTGACTACCTTGGGCTTGGGGTTGCACATTGCCTCCTATTTTGCCTTTTGCGTTAGGCGTTGTTGACTTTGCTGCTGGGTGGCTTGGTGGCATTGCAAAGACACACAAGGACACCCAAAAAATCTGTATTCGGCAGTGTTTGTTATGTGTAATGTTGTTGAATAAAATATGAGTTGAATTAACTAGGATGCAGCCGCCGTTCATAATGAATACCGAGATTTCTATGCTGTGAAGCATTCTGTTGACTGAAACTTGTTTACATTTTGCCGGCAGACTCGACTGACTGTGGGCAGCACTTCAAAGTGAATTGGCGAAACGAATCTAAAGAAAAACAAAAGATCTCATAATAAGCGAAGTGTAAAAAATATCAGAGTGCATTAAGACTTAGAGGTATTCAATTTAAAAACGTGAATACACAATTCTGTTTCTGTTTTTTTTTCAGTGTTTTATTTTATAATTAGGCTGATTTCTAGAAAGAGTAATAAACAAACATAAGTGGAATTTATCTGAAAAAAGTATTATAACTACATACATACATACACATATGCTTCCCGAAATGCTTCTTTTACTAAAACATTTATAACGCTTAAAATAAATGTGAAGTTGCACTAAAATTTACCGGGAAAAATTGAATACCCTGCACCAAAGTAACAAGTTTGTAGTTGTGTGCGTGCTTTGTAAGTGATCTCCGTGTCAAACGTCGAACGAACGAAATCGCGGCAACGTTTTCCCTTTCGTTCTACGTATCGAAGAATAACGTGAAAATTCGTACGTATTGGCAGGAAGACAAAGATCAGCGGGCCCCGTTAAGATATCGTTCGTTGGCGGCGGTCAGAGAGGTTCGAAAGTTTGGCGACGCGAACGCATCGAAATGACCAATGATCCGGATTTAGATGATTGTGCCTTTCTATCAGGTAAAGCTAAGTACATTCATACATTCCTTATTACACAGAGAAAATTTTGACTTTTAAAAATTAAGAGATCGTGAGTGAATGGGAAAAACGACATAGCAAAGGATTTTCCAGATATTTTATGGGGAAGAATATCTTCGATTAAGCATTAAATTTCTGGTTTATTTTTTTACTAGGCAAAATCATTTTCTATAGAATAAATCATATTTTTTCATAGTCAAAAATTTGATTTACAATAGTCGTTTTAGGATGTACAAAAAAAATATCTACTTAATTTCATATGACAAGTAATTAATATTAGGTTTGTCCACAACTACTCGAAATAACTTCGAGCTATATACAGCCCTGGATTTACACTACGTGCTCTCGGGGGACTGACACAGGACGCCAGATTTTGGGAGACGGCAAATTTGAAAACATAAATTCAAATAAATGCAGGTTTATTTCGGTTATTAAAGCTTTCAAAATTTTACAAATATTTTTGATAATAATTCAAAATAATTAGGAACCACTGTTTGCAACGCCCTTTATGGTATTCAGCTCTTGTCACTAGATAAGGGTCAAGGTCAGGTAACTTAAAGCTGCCACATAAAAATTCACTTAGATCGGTATTGCTTATATTTGGACAGGCGAAAGTTAACGTAACTTATTGCCACGTCGAAGTCTGTTTAATCTGGATTTTCTACGTTTTAAGTTACACTGAGAGAAAAAACAACCAAAAATTGGTTAATATTACCAAAACCATAATTTTTGTTTAATATTAACAATGCCTTGGTTGATATTTTCTACAATTAGTAATAATAATACACTGGCGCTTAAACAAAAGTTTGTGTTTGGCCGAGCTTCTCCTCCGATTTGTGGTGTGCGCCTTTGTTGTATTTTTATGAGAAGCTGTTTTTCCCAGCACAAATACACTAGGAGGTTTGCCATTGTCTGCCGAGGGCCGACGGCTGTCAAGAAACATTTGTTTTTCAAAATTTTTTTGTGCGATGTTGCTTTGTTCTACCATTATTTGGTAATAATTACCATGATTTCGTTTACATTAACCAAAACTTTTGGTTGGCGATTTTTTCGTTTGAATTCGCTTATGTTCTGCACTTCACAGATTATTTTTCATAATTAATAAATATTTTTGTAACCATTTTAACACTTTGCCTCTGACGGAATAGCAAATAATAGCAATCATCTCTACACACTCAGCTACAGCCGCTTTATGAATTTGTCTTTAAATGTTCAACCTGAATCAATTTTCTTCGTCGTTTAATTTGGTTCTGCACTTCACAGATGTTTTTTCGTAACTAGCAAAAACCAAAAACCGCTGACGGCATTCGTACTCGTAACCTCTTTGAAATATGTTAAGGGGAAAAAGATTGGTAGGGGATCCAAAACTTCCATATTTACCGCGCGCGGTAATATTGAAATTATAATTAGTTAGAGTGGCTAAATTTATGTTTTATACGTCTGCTTTAGAAAGCAATCTGATAAAAATATTAATTTTAGTAGAAAAAATATTCAGTCTTAAGTTTGTGCTTTTAAGATATTTAGATATTTTTGTGTTTATAATTGACAGTCTAGGGATACCTGGAAAAAATTGCACACAGGATACAAATTGTACCCTGCTGCTCAGAAAAATATTTTAATCGAAAGAAAAAAATGTGTACCTCTCAACTTGATAGGAAATATTTTTAATTAAATAAAAACTATTAGCAATTACCGCATCGCTGAAATCAATTTTTTTGATGGAAGTGATGGAAAATTTTGAAACTGGTTAATAACCACGCCCACCTTCCATATTAAGGTATTTAAAAAAAATGGAAACTGCGATATTTCAAAAATTACTGCACTGAGGAAACTTTATGTAAAATAAATTTTTTTTAATTAAATTAAAAAGCCCCCGCTGTGGTGTAGTGGTCAGCTGTGCGCGCTACCATTCCGCAGGGCACGGGTTCGAGCGCAGTTTCCGACCAATATAAATTTAAAAATGGGCGGACCACTCCGCTTTTTAAATGGCTAGCCGGTACTAAAAATTCGCATGTTTCGAAATTGATAACCGGTAAAAAATTTACCTAAATTTTGGAAGTAACCCTAATAAAAGAAATTAGCGGGATCACAGCCCGGGGTTTTCAAAGTTTGTAGTCGGTACAAAAATCGATTTAATTTTTGAAATCACCGTGGAGTAAAGTTTAAACCAGTTTCAGTGCTAGTAGTGAGGTAATTGCTAATGGTTTTGAATTAATTAAAAATAGGGGCTATTCGGAATTGCAACAAAACAAAGCATCAGTCTCACTTTGTTTTTAAACCATACGCGGTTAGATTGGGCTTTTCCAGCAATTATAGTTTAGATGTAAAAGACACTGATGCTTTGGTTTGCTGCATTTCCGAATAGGGGGATATTTTCTGTAAAATTGAGGATTTAAGATTTTCTTATTTGGCTTAAAATATTTTTCTAAACAGCATGGTACTAATATTTGTTTTTGCTCTTGGGTTACAAATATCAAATTTCAGATACTCTTCGCACAAGGAATTCAAGGAGGGAGAGAAAATTCCTAAAGTCTCACTTTCTTACTCGCTCACTGAAGCGAAATGAGAAGTTTTGACATACGTGTACCGAGGCGAATCAAATCAGCTGTTCTTGCAATATCATCTTATATGATTTCGCCTTGGTTTAATCTCGACCTTATTCATAATCATAATCTTAATTGTGACCAGCCAACGCCGCCATCCCCTACCTTCTTTTGCCGATTTTTCGTTTGAAATTAGAGCTCAACGAGTGTGTCGCTTTTTGGTTACATCGATGTTTGCATTTACTCCCAATCGAACGTAAAGAAGTTTCACTTCAAAAAGTTGATTAAAGAGTTATTTTGCAAGTAAGATGCCTCAAAAAAAAAAAATGTAAAAAAAAGTTAATGAAAAAAGAGCATAAAGTCGGAAAAGGCAAAACAAGTTGACGAATCCATAAAAAAGAGTCTAAGTCATCTTTTGCGTCGCGACTTTTTTTTTCGTTTTTACTATTGAGTTATTGATGCTGGATGAAGAGTTCACTCAGCATTGCTTTCAGCTTATTGCTATGGCTTGTTGAATCGTCGGAACTTAATTTTATTTACTCCTATTTTGTTGTCTTCTATCACAAATTCAACTAAAACAAAAACACTAAATAAATAAACTTTTTAATTAAATTTACAGGTGGCGAATCTAGCGGTCGACAGACGCGTCAAGGGGTCGCTGTTTGCTCACAAAGACGCGCGCTACTGGTTGCTGGTATCGTTTTGGGTTCGCTGCTGCTAACAGCATTAATAATCGCCTATGCTGGACCACAAAATGGTAGGTTGAAAGTATATACATATGTATGTATGTGTGTGTGAATATTTTGAACGCAGGTGTGGATTGCGGTGAATGATATTTGTGTTTATGTGGTTATACGTTCATCACACTCATGTCTTTTATCTCATTTTTTACCTATGCATACACAAACTTTACATACAATATTACATATCAACATTTATATGTACAAAATACATACTTACTTACATAGATTTCATACAATTTTTGTGTAGGGAAATCTACTAGTTTCAAACGGGTGAATTTTCGAATCATTGGAAGATCATGCCTTTTAAAATTTTCCTATATCTGATTTGGGGTTTTTGAACGGTTTTAAGGCACGGCTGGGGCGGAACTTTTATGAAGTAAAAATTGTCTCGAGAACTGCACAATTTGGCATCTCCGCAAAACGAATACGACTATGCAGAGTGAGGTTTAACACAACCTTCCGCACCGTCCAAATTGTGAAGGACCTCTCTGCGTTGTTTGAAACCAAAGTGGGTTCTAGGCAAGGCGATTCACTTAAGTTATACAGTGACTTTAATATGCGTATTTTTTTGGAGTAAATTTTTTTTTTCTAAAAATACACTCCAATCTTTAACCAAAACCATATAAATCACAGTGTCAAATTTAATCTGTATCTTAAAAAATTCTTGGGTATGCAATTTTATAGCCCCTACAATTTTAGTTGCAGGAAGCGCAATTAGCAATTGGCTAAAAAATCGCGTATATTTTTAAGATTTTTTTTGAGACTCGCTTTTGCAATTTTGTATATAACAAGTGCAATTTACAAAAGCTGGTGTTGATTTTTTGAAATTTTGTTTCATATAAAATTCATGCTTATACGGAAAAAAGTGCGAAAATCGGTCACCAAAAGAAAAAAAAAATCAAAAATCTACGGGGTTTTTAGCCGTTTGAAACTTGCAGTTCTTTAAACTAAAATTGTATGGTCTATAAAACTGCGGGCTCAAAAATGCTCTAAAGATTCAGATTAAAAATTTGTAATTTTGATGAAAATTTGTTGAATTTTCCTAAATTTTGTTTAAAGTTTGAGACTGTGAATTATATGCTTTTGGTTAAAGCTTGGACGGTATTTTTTTATAGAAAAAAATGTAACTAGAAAAACATTATGAATATTAAAAATAAAATCTGCACCTGTTCATTTGTTTGAGTCACTGTGTATTATTATTAAGATAATAATATTATTACGCTTATAGTTTTAATGGTGGATATTTTTAGGCTTACTTTTTACATACAAATCCAAGCTCTAGTCTCAACCATAACCGATAGCTGCCATCATTGTAGCATATAAAGTCAAGTTTTTGCGGCATAGGGGTTTAGGCGGAGAAGTAAAGATGCTGTGAAGAAGCTGCTAGATGAAGAAAACCTTACTAAACTGGAAAATCGTTACAATTTAAAACGAAGATAAAGTCCACAGTATAATTTTAGGTTTGGTGTTTCTTTTAAATCTGGACCTTTTTGCAAATTATCTGGATTTTTATCCATAGCTACATTTTTTCTTTGTTTTATCTACCAAGTGCTATATTATCATGTGAACCTACAACAAAAATAAAAGTTATAAGAAAAAAAATGCCTAACTGAACAAATATCTCAATCAGTTTTAGTTGAATAAAATTCGTCTGACTTCAGTTGCTTTTATTTTGCATAAATCTGACAATTTCGTACAAAGTTGTAATGAACTTTCCTTACTCAAATATCATTTTTTTTAGTATAAACCATTCAATTATAAAAATTATATTATTATGTTAGCCATAACTTTTACTGTGATTGGACCACCCTAGACCATTTAGGGCATCAATTAATATTTTAAATTGCAATGTCATCGTGATTGGAATTATGCTCAAATTTTCAAGTCTCTAGCTTGTCAGAAAGTTAGTTTAAAATCGATTGGAATTTCGCACTTTTTAACCAACCTGAGGAGTTCTCGTAGATAGATATTAGCCGTCTTGGTAGCTTCATGATGGGTTCTCGGCGTTTTATAGATTGAGTAGTGGTCAAAATTGAAAATCTCTTTGTACTAGAATGTCACGGTTGTCATTTTGATTGACATAAATTTTTGCTTCGAGCAGAGCTACCACAAAAATCTTTGTGAAATTTTGGTTACTGAGAAAGTTTAGTTCCAAGAAGTTTTGAGTAATTTTGAAGTAGTAGAACTACTATGTATATATGTAGCATTTATTCTATTTATTCTCACTTTAGAGTCGTTATTGCATTTGTACATGAATATCGTTTTTATTAAAAACGGAAACTTGCTAAATCTATTAATAAGTGAATCGTAAGCTTGAAACCACTGGAAAGTTCTAGCTATAATGCATTTTCAATTTGTGGTTATCTGTAAACTTGTACATATATTTTTCAAACATACATATGTAGTATGTATGTAAGCTACTTTTGTGTGTGTAGACATGTGTGTGCTTGCGTGCAGCATCAGCTTCAATTAAACAAATTATACAAAGGGCCTTTGTGTCACTATATTACACTGATTTACCAACTGGTTTACCTTGTTAAACCGCCAATGCCGCCCACATAAGAGCTTTTAAACTACTTCAACACACACATACACGTCTACGTATATATATGGAACATTTATGTGCAAAGATCCAACATAACGGTTTTTTGTATATAAAGGGGTTGGCTTGTACATCAACTCAATTAAAGCAGCTACGCTTTGTAGCCAAGAGAAAAAAAAGTAATTAATGCAACAATAGAAAAAATTAAAAAAAAACGCAAAAAAGGAGTAAAGAAGAAAAAATAACTTAATTTATGCAAAGCACAAACATAAAGTTATCATTGCATATTTAATGGCGTTTAATATGGGGATGTTAATTGAATTGACAACAACTGACGGGGCAAATTGCATGCTTGGCTGTAGTTGCATCGGCAAGCGAGTGTGTTTGCACACAGCGTAGGACGTTGCCAAGTCTCAAACGATAGATGCATCAGAGAGAAACTTTTAATTACTGTTGTTTAAAGGTGCAACCGTTGTCATGGGAAGGCGCGGCAAAGCATTTTTTTTTTTAATTTTAACCTTCTCAAGGGCATAACTTAATCAATAAACTTGCGTGTCTTGGACATTCGGCTCTCGTCACAAAAAAACTAAAACTCAAGCGTACTGTACTGAACTAAAATTAAAATATTTTTTTGCTCGGTTTCGAGTAATTTCCGACGAGCGAAGATCGAGAAGATGGAAGACAAAATATTGTCTGCGAAGTCTATTCTTGGTACAATTTTTAGTATAAACTAACGATTGTCTGGTATCATTCGATGCGACTGATGCTATTATCGATTGGAAGTAATGATGAACCAAATGCCCAGCAGCCAATTAGGTTATGCCTTCAGTATCTTTACAAGATGTGTATCAGATGGTTATATACCCAAAGCTTGGAGTTGGCCGGAGTAATATCTATACCTAAAGCATAGAAGTGAGGATTTTAACTCATTAAGCTTTTCATCTTTCCTCCTAAAAGCACCCGGAGGGGTTAATTGATGGACAGCCGTCTCCAGGTAGGGAGAGAGTCCTTGAAAAATCACTTGAATATATAGATATACCTCAGCTAGCTTCTTGAAAGTTGAGGCCGCTTTCAACAATGTACTCCGATTTTACTGCAAGTTATTTTCTGTGAAATTTTTGAAAAAGGGCTACCTGCAGCTCTCAAAAAAAAGCGAAATTTATATAAAAAGACGTACAAGAAATGGAAAATAAATTTTCTTCTATAAAAATTTTCTAAATCAGTATACAGCTCTTATAGGCCCGTCAGTATGGGTACTTGTACGTCAATAACGGAAAAGTATGCGAAGGAAGTGGCGTACGTACCGTAGAGATATGCCACAATGAAGGTGTTGCGTCGGCTAACAAAAATCAGCTGCTCCTTATGGTCACAAACTTGGGGTTTACACAAGTCAATTTTTCAGATACAATAGCAAAGCATTAACATTTTTTTTTACTAATATATTCCCACTCTCTTGATGTCCTCATCACTGTCTCTGGCTTTTCGAAGACAGTTCATTGTCTGGATGCCTACTTTACTAAAACAATGTGTAAGTTATGTGCATATCCTCATTGGTATTGTCTTGTGTTAACGCGGGGTTATACAACTGTCAGCAGTGACGGACTTACGTGCGTCAAAAGTTGAGTGTTGGCCCAACGTTCGTTGGGTCACGTAAAATCCGAGATGTTTTTTGAGGTTGACTTGACTTGGTTTTATGGGGTCAGGGCCAGATGCAACTAAACTGATTAGTCGATATCGCACCATTTCAAGTATTTCATTGTAAATGTACCGTTTGAGATTTTGCATTTATGACTTTTACTTTTCCTTTTCTAAGCCTAACAGCTTTTTTTATCAACTGTCATCGCCATATCCGATCGAACATATCTGTGAGCCTCCGTTCAGTAGATCTCGGTCACTATGCCGAGAGTGTAGTTTCTTTATTTTCCATAAAACATATTCCTTAATGATTTTATGGCATAGTTTTTCTCTGTGTGTTCTACAAGCACAAAAGGTAGAAATATTTTTATTTTTTATTCTTTTTTAATAGAATTAGGAAATTAAAATATCACTGAAAGGCTTGATTGACATATAAAATAAACTGAGTTCGTCTAAACAAGTTATTATGACCGATGGTTGATTTGAATTTCCTTCGCGGTAACTTTAAATTCATTTAGTTTGCGTTTGACAGCTATTGACAGCAGACAAACCTGTGAATTTTGATGAAAACAAGTCGAATAATTATATAAGGTGGTGTTGCTAGATCAGCTGATTTGATTCGCCCCAGTACAAATGTTTCAAAGTTTCTTATGAGTGAGCGAGAAAGTGATTGTGTTGAAATTATCTTTCCTTCTTCTTCCTTGAGCGAAGAATAGCTGAAAATTTACGTTTGTGTACCGAAAGCGAAAGCAAAATACATATAAGTTTTTATTTTTATACTACCGCTAACACCTTATATGAATTCGCCTTGGATGAAAATGAAAAAGTGACATCACA